GAGCTCGCTTGCCATCCTCTTTCGCTCGGACGTGGCGCCTTTTGCTCTCGTGCCGCGGGCCCTCCGTCGGCGTCGGCGGCGTCGTCGCCGTCGCGGTCGTGGCGCGCCCTCTTGCAGGAGAAGGTGGTGCAGCGGAGCAGGAGTACGTAGCCGACGAGGAGACCACGCGCGCAGGGGCGCCGCGCACTTGCGCGCCGCCAGTTGGCGAGGTGGGCGCGGCGCTGCCGGGGCCCCGAGCACTGCTTCGCAACTTCGAGACCTGGCCCCCGCAGTGCGGGCACGCTCGCAGGGCACTTGCCCCACTGCCAGAGCCTTGATTGATTGAGACGGAGCCGTGCCTGCCGTTTGCCCAGGAGTAACTATCGGCACAACGCGCCCACCTTGGGTGCACACGACCGCACCAGACCAGACCAGACCAGACCAGGATGAGAAGGAGAAGGAGGAGGAACAAGAGGAGGGAAGCACCGGGAGACAGAGGCGGAGGCGGAAAAAGGAGAGGAGGAGGAGGAAACGGATGACGAGGAGGGCAGAAAGAGGGGGGGAGAGGACGAGGAGGGGGAGAGGGCGGAGGAGGGCGGAGGCGATTGGGAAGGAGGAGGATGAGGGGAAGAAATGGAGAAAGAGGCGGACAAAATGAGTAAAGGGTGATAATGAAGATAACGATGATGACGATGACGATGCCGATGACGAGGATGATCACGGTGAGGACGATGATGATGAGAAAAAAACGATGACGATGACGATCACGATGACGATGCTGATGGCAGTGATGGTGATGATGATGATGCTGCTGATGATGATGATACTGATGATGATGCTTATGATGATGGTAATAATAACGATGTTGCTGATGATGCTGGTGATGATGATGATACTGATGATGATGACGATGGCGATGATTGGGATGATGATGATGAGGATCATGATGCTGATGCTGATGATGATGCTGATTACGTTGATGATTATGCTGATTAGGATGGCGATGCCGATGGTGCTGCCGATGGTGATGCTGATGGTGATGATGCTGATGGTGATGATGCTGACGATGATGCTGATGCTGATGCTGCTGCTGCTCATGATGATGATGCTGATGATGCTGATGCTGATGCTGCTGATGATGAATATGAAGATGAATATGCATATTAATGTGATGATGTTGATATAGATGCTGATGATGATGCTGCTGCTGATGATGATGCTGATGATGATGATGATGATGCTGATGCTGATGCTGATGCTGATGATGATGATGATGATGATGATGATGATGATGATGGTGATGATGATGATAAGGTGAGACGTTCCCCGACGCGGTTCCGTGGGCCCAAGTGGAACACAACGCGCCAGAGACCTCACGGCCAACATATTCCAGGAGAAGTTTACTGGCCAACTCTTTCGAAGTCTTGTGATTTCTGGATCCTTCAGGTAAGAGGCGGGGAGTCCATCCAGGAGAGAAGGACGGTGAGGAGCAAGGAACGCAGGAGGAAGAGAAGAGCAAGGAGGGAGAGGAGAGAGACGCGGATCGAGAACCGAGGGCTCAGGAGGCCGGCGGCGAAGACGACGAGGGCGAACACAGCAACTATGACCATTAACCGCGACGACGGCGGTGACGAAGATGGCGGCGGCGGCGGCGTGCCAGCGCCGCCGCCTGGGCCTCCTGCGCCGGTGGAGACGGCGGCCGAGACTGCGACCGCGACGACGACGGCGGCAGCGGCCTCTGACCTCCGCCGATACGATTTTGGCCAGCCCGCGGCCCCAGGGAGGTCCCGCCCTTTCCCCTGAGGGCAACTTTGTCGCTCGGGGGGCCTGACCCCCCCGGGAATGTGGACAAGCGCGCTCCATCACTCGCAAAGTTACTGCTCGACAATGGCCTGGATCCGCCGCGGGCGATGTACGATACAGTACATAGAGGAAGACATGTTTGTGTCGGACGTTTGCGAGTAGGCACTTTGCGAATAGTGAAGCGCTCTCGGTGAGAATAATTTTTGATGGCCCTGGGGGGCAACACGGACAACGAAGACGATGACTACGACGACAACGACGACGACCCTCCCCCCGGATCTCTCTTTGGACGCCCGGTCAGGCCAAAATTCCGTGGAGAACCCAGCATCGTGGCCACGACGGCGCCTAATGGAGGCCCACAAGGCCGCGACAAACTGCCCACCCCCTTTCATCCTCCAAGGGCGCCTGACTTCGCGCTTCGCGCTTCGCGCGGAGCAGAGCGCGAAGAACTTGGTTTCTTCGCGCCGCCCCGCAAGGGGAGAAGAGAGGCGACGAGGAATCGGAGCCGAACCGCGAAGCGCGAATAACTTCGTGCACTCGAGGGCGCCCCTGCTCCACCCTCGGTCATCGATCGCCAAATAATCGGCGGCGACGACGGCGGCGGCGACGACGGCGGCGGCGGCGACGGCGGCGGCGTCGGCGACGGCGTCGACGGCGGGCGGAAGGCCTGGTGCCAGAGCAAGCCTCCTCCAGCAGGTCCAGGTCCTCCTCGGTGGCCCGCTCTGGGGCCGCCCTCGTCGCCATCCTCTTCTGCGTCGCCCCATGTCGCCCTGGTCGCCTGTTCTTCAAGGTCGTCTTGGTCGTCGGTCGTTCGGCTCTAGACGGCGGTCATCCGACGACGGAGAACCGAAGTTAGAGATTCGCGAGTCGAGGCTTTGAGGCGTCGATGGTCCTTGTAGGGCCACCTGGGGCGGCGTCGTGGACGCGGCTCACCTCCTCCTCCTCCTCCTCCTCCTCCTCCTCCTCCTCCCACTCCTCCTCCTCCTCCGTCAACTCCTCCGACTCTTCCTCCTCCTCCCCCACAAACTCAAACTCAAACTCAAACTCCTCACATCCTCGTCTATCCCTCCTCCTCCCCCTCCTGCTCCTCCTTCTCCTCCTTCTCCTACTCTCTGCGCCCTGTTCGTCCTGGCCGTGGCCGTCGCCGCCAAAGTCAACTCCCTTCCCCTCCCTCTCTCTCTCTCTCTCTCTTTTTCTTTCGTTCTTTCTTTATGTCTTTCATTATTTGTTTCCTTCTCTCTCTCTCTCTCAACGTCCTCCCCCCCTCCTCCCCTCCCCGCCCCCCTCCTTCTCCCCACGGCCCCTCGTAACTGGTTCAAGCCGCTCTGGGCACAGGGGTGGTCACACCTGAGCTGCCGAGCATGACAGACAGGTTGGCTGCACCGCCTCGCCTGGTCCAGCCTGGGCTTCGGGACAAAAACGTGGTTCTTGGTGGGCACAGCTGGTGCTGAGGTTAGGAGTTGGACCGAGCACGCCGCCGAAGCGCAAGTGCGCGGTATGCACCAAGCGAAGTTGGTGCAGCTGGGCTTGGGCATCTCGTTGCACCCAATTGGCTGCGGCGCGCAATGGTAGGAACCAAACAGGGGCATTCATAAGAGGATGAGGACCTTCGGAGAGACCGTCCCGCCTTCCAAGATGCCCTCTCATAAGCCGCCGAGCCCTTTCAAGAAGCACCCTGCCGTCAGGCCGCCCACGTCGCGCCAGCCACCCGCGCGCGGCGCCGCTAAACATACCTCGGGGATGGACAGACCCCCCTTTAGTAAAACGTGGTTTAGTGAAAACGACCTGAGGCCCAAGCCTGGCGGGCGCAAGCCTGGAAAATAACGGCCGCGGCGCCCTCTCGAGAACCGAAAACGGACAATTCACTAATCGACGTGTCACTGTTGGGGGTTCTGTCCACCCCCGAATACCACTGTGTGCTGAAGACTTCGGCGGCCTGGCGAACCAGGCCGTCTCAGCGGAGGCCACGGAGGCGGGGCGGGCGGCGACGGGTCCAACAACCAGGCTGCCGCGCGCCAGCGCGTGTGCCGCTCGGACCTCCAAGGCCTCCCCAGTGGCCAAGGAGGTGGGCACGGCCGACCTCGTGGCGTCAGCGCCGGCCCGGGTGGCCTTCTGGAAAACAGGCGCGGATGGCTTGGATCCGACCTGGGGGATCTGCGATACATTGCGTCAGGGCAGACATGTGCTGCTTTTCCGGACGTGAGGTGCCGGCGCAGCTCCGCTGAGCGGCCGAGAGGCTCCGAACGAGGTCACGAGATCCGACGGCTAGGTCCTCTACGGCACCTATCTTCAGGGGGACGTAAGACCTGGGTACAGGGGACTCGGAAATCCCCGACGAGGTCGTCAAAAAAATGACGAGGCCGAGCCTGCATTTTGACGAGGCCTCCCGCTGCAGACATCCCACGAAACTCCTCCTCGTCAAAATCCGAGGCGCGGTCGTCAAAAAACGATGGCGAACCCGAGTCCTGGCAAACCCGGGTCTTACGCTCCCCCGATATCTGGGCCAGCGGGCGCCCTGGCTCTCAGCGACCCGCCGGCGGCCTGCGCGGCAGAAGCTCGCCGCGCAGGCCGAACAGATCGCGCAGGCCGCGAAGAGGCCTTCGTCGCCGCCTCCGCGGAGCACGTCTTGCCGGCGGCCACTCGGACCCAAGCAGCGGCAGGAGCAACGGTGGGGCGCAGCGAGGCACATGGAGGCGCGGGCAGGCGAGGGGAGGACCGAAGGGGCGAAGGGCAGAGCAAGGGGGAGAGGCAGCGCGCGGGGGGAGGCCCCTCAGAGCGTGGAGTTCTCTGGGATGCGCCGGGCGTCAGCTCGTATGTAAACGCATCCACGGAGGACCCGAGAGCTGATGGCCGACGTACTCGGGACTGCGAAAAGGGAGCCGGCAGCTGAAGCCCAGCTCTGGCACGGCCGCGCGTGCGGTGGCGCAGGCATTCGCCACGGGCGCCGACACGGGGGGCGATGCTGGCCGCCAGGAGGCCCGAAGTCGGGGAGACGTAAGACTCGGGTTCGGGGGACTCGGGTTCGCCTGACGGGACCATCATGAAAATGACGATACCCAATCTGAAATTAGACGCGAACTCCCGCTGCAAACGTCCAACGAAAACTGGACCCTCAAAACCCAGGACGCACTCGTCTGAGAACGTCGGCAAACCCGAGTTCAGGCGCACTCGAGTCTTACGTTTCCCCCCGACAAAGGCAGCTCGACGTCCAAGGTCTCTGAGTTATGAAGATAATCCTGGAGGCCTCGCGCGGCAACTTCAAACCCGATGTACATCGGATCCACGTCTGATTTACGTCGAACTCCCGTCGGATTGCGTCAGATTCACGTCGCACTTACGGCGGAGGATCGCCGCGCCAACGTCGATCCAGATCTGACGGAGCGGACGTGCGGACTAGGTGGTACAACTACGGCGTGCCGCGCGAGGCCTCCGGGATTCTCCTCGCAATGCGAGGCCTCCGCGATGCCCACCGGCACGCAGAGGCAGCACGAGGCCTCCGCGGAGGCCGCCGGGGCGCGGCAGGCCAGGGCGAGGCCCCCGGCCGCGGCAGGGGCGCCCAGCCGCCCAAGAGGCCCACGGGTCCCGGCTGCCGCGCCCACGGGTCCCGGCTGCCTGGCTGAACGGCCGCGGACGCTGCATGACCGACCGACCGCGATAAGCAGTACAAGTACCCCTAATCCTCTGGGAGGGGGCCTCAGTTGGGATGGCCAGCAATCCATTGGGCATAGTTGTATGCAGATGTGTCAGGACGAAAAACCGTGGACCTAAGCTAGGCCACGAGATCACTGTGTTATTGCGGTTGGGGGGTTGTATTATGCTTAGTGAGACCGCGCTCGTGCACGGACCTCTGAAACAGTGGAAACACGCTTGGGTGAGCCTCTGGACCAAAGCCCTGAGAACGAGCGCACCAGGGGTACGGCAGGCTGGAATCTTGACGATCGTTCAACCTTGAACGATCGCGGCTTCTCGATACAGTCGGGAACGAGAAATTAGCACCACGAAAACAAGGAAAAGATAACACTACCCTTCAAGATTCTCCCCTCCCCCTCTCCCCCGAGATAACCAGAGAGTCGTCGCTTTTTTATACGCGAGGAGCTGCGCTGCTTTTCTTGCGTGCTTGTTCAAATCCGAACGTTCTCGGTTCTTCGGAACATTTCGAAATTGTGTTCCCTCTACTTCAGCTCCGACCTCGTGTGAAGATTGCGGAGCTGCTCCCGTCGTTCAGAATGGTGCTTTCGCCCAAGCGCGGGCCACTTTTCTGGACCCGAGTCCTTCCTCATCGTTGTCGCCCCCACCCCTTCTCCTCCTCCGCCTTCCTGATCCTGCTCCTCTCGCACCTTCCACTCCAGCTCCTTCTGTCGTTCGTCCTCGTCCTCCTCTTTCCTGCTCCTCCATTTCCTCCAGCTCAGTCTCCTGCTTATCCGCCACCCTTCCTCCAATGCACGCAGCTCCCTTGTCCGATTACGCATAACTCTATTGGGCCTTGTTTTTGAGCCCCAGGTCGACTATGACACGTGTCCGCGGACAGAGAAGACACACATCGGCGCAATGGGAAGGAAGTGTGGGAAGCGGTAGGATGTCCGAGATGGTGCGAACGCACCTAGCTTGTTCCCTTCCCCCCTCTTCCTACTCCCCGCTCCGCTCCCCCACTCCCCCACACGTCCCCCCGCCTTCCTCCCCTTCCCTCCCCCCTCCATCCCTCCCTCCGCCCCTCCTCCATCCTCTCTCAACTCCTCGCCCCCGTCGTCCGCCTCCGCCTCCGACTCCTACACTCACAAGGTTCCCCTCCTCTTCGTCCTGCTCCTGCTCGCCCATCGGTGGAATGCATCTCGCAGAGACGGCTCCTTCAGCTCGGGCGAGGCGAAGATCAGTGCCTTCATGTTCTGCGTGATGGCGCACAGGACCACGTCCCTGTCGGCCCTCAGCTCGCCCGCGCAGTGCTCCAGCACGAGGCCGTCGGCGCCCACTGCGGCAAGGGCGAGGTCCTTGTCGGCCTGGAGGGCCCCCTCGGCCATCCTCAGCATCTCGGGTTTCTGTCTCACCGCGCTGATCATGATCTCCTTGTCGGAGCGGAAGTTCTTGGCAGCCTAGGAAGACAACATCTAAAAAAAAACTCAGAGCACCGATGCCGCAGCCTTGCCTGAAACTCGACCTGGTCCCGATGTGCCGGGCGCTGCCCTCCGTAGGAGAACCAGGAGGATACGGTGAGAAAGACGTGAAGGGAGACGAAGGAGACGCGAAGAGAGACCGCAACAAGAACGGCCTTCGCAACATACCTGCGGAAGTCCGCGCGGACATCTCGCGTCGGCGCTGGAACTCGAAGAGAAAAACGATGACCATGACCAAGACTGAACGCGGAAATGTCGGTGTCGATCTTAATCATCGTCCATCTTGGTGACCGTCAAGTTCGTGGATCATCCTCACGAAGTCGGCGACGGCCGGCATGGACCATGATCAGCATCAGCGTCGACAAGATCCCGCGGCATCTTGGTCATGGTCATCGTGCTTCCCTGGAGGATCGGGTGTTGCCAGAAGTGACCTTGGCCCAAGGTGCCCCCAGCGTCTCACGCCCGTTCTGGGCCTCAGGGGACCTCTGGGCCTCGTGAGGGGCCCTTTGGGAGCCATCTGGGCCTGCCAAGAAATCCTGGTGGCAACACTCGGCGGCGAGCGAGGGGGGCAAGAGAGAAGGAGAAGGCCTTCTCAGAAGACGGCGGGACT